TGTTCTTGAAACGCTCTGTTCTTGAAATGCTCTGTTCATGTTTCAACCGATTATTTGGCATGCTTTATACTTGATGTCGGGCCCCCATGTTTACTTACTGAGATATTTTTATCTCACGGTTTCCTTGTCCACTATTTCAGGTAGTGAGACCCGACGCGTGGGAAGCCCGGGAGAGTGACGAGCTAGGCAGTTAGGCACTTTTGGACTTAGGTTTTTGTAGCTAAGCCGTTAGTCACCCATGCTTGACATAGAAAATTTTGTGTACAGGATTTAGTGTTAGTCATGATTGTATATATAATGTGATAAATTTTGTACATTCGCTGGTAACTATTTGGTAAAGTAAAAAGGCTTAGATCTGAATTACCTGAATTGCTAAGTAAGAACTCAATAGGTCTCGAGCCTTGTGCATTTGTGGGCCCCGCTCACGAGTGCACGGCATCTGTTCCGCTCTCGGTTTGGGGCGTGACAGGATTTGAAACTCTAATCTTGACCCAAAATTAAGGTTTTGAAATTAGTATGAACCAACTCAATCAAACTCTTGTTGGTGTTGTCAAGACTCAAATGATAGGGACTGAAGTAAACCTTGCCGAAAAGAAAGGTTTGAATTTTATCCATCCCCAATTGTTAGTAAGGAGCCTTATTATGTGAATGCATATATATGACAGGAAGACATAAGCCCTAACTCTCTAACAAGAAGACTTGATTGAGCAAGGTCACCCTCACCATAACGTACCGAACTCATCAATATTGATTAGAAAAATTTGCAAATACTATTCAAATGAGATTAAGAAATTCATCACAACTGCCAATGAGAACCTTAAATTGGGTTACTAATGTTAGGCTCTTGAAACTTCTAATGAGACCTACACTGCGGCTTACTTCTTTGTCCCATTTTTTTCTTGATCAAAGTGAAAGTGGAGATGGAAAAAACTCTACTTAATTTCAACTATCTTAGTTTAACTTAATGAAATATCTTTAACAGTGAAATGGGTCATTTAAGCAATCATTTTCCAACGTTAATTCTTTCTCCACATCTTTTTTCCTTTCTGTTTCCTCTAGTCCAGTGTTATTAAAGGCAAACCAAAGTCACACTCACACCACTGAAATTGCAATTTGTATTATTTTCTATAAGTTTCAGCCATCATCTGACAAGACTATTCCTTACTGACTAGAGACACAACTTAAATCAGCAAAATCAGGCCTTAATTCTATCAATAGAATGGTTTGAATTTCTCCATCACCACTTGGGTGCAAACAATTCTGATGAGTCTTATTATGTGAATGCATATGTATGACAGGAAGACATATCCCCCACCCTCTAACAAGAAGGCTTAAGCAAAGGTCACCAAAAAAATGTTCTCAACCCAGCAACATTGACTAGGAAATTTTGCACAGACTATTTGAGTAAGCTTAAGAAATTCATAACTACTTTTTTTGTGAGTTGATTAGCTCCATTCAAACTTAAATCCTTGAATCTAGTAGGGAACTCCTAAATAACACTAATGCTTCTAGATAGGTATTTTTCTCATACTTGCAAAATCCGCAAATCCACAGACACTTCAATTTTATTCATGTCATCATTCTATTTATTGAATTCAAATTGTAACAACATCCCTACTCCTTCTCCCAACTAAAATCTCAGGCAAACACGCCCTCAAATAAACAAAGGTAAACAAACGGTTTTTGTATATAATGGGAGGAAAGGATGATGAAAAACCATGAACCCTAAATAAAACATGAGTTACACATATCCTTTCCACAAAATCTTTACCATTCATCTGTTTAGATTAAGATTTAAATCGTGCTAAATCTGAATCAATTATTCATAATACAGAGATCAATAGTCAAGATTTTGTGTAACAATTATGTAAGTGAATCCTAACACAAAACGTACATACATACCTACAATTTGGATCAAATTGGAAATGATTATCCAAACAATTCTTCCAAACGCAAGATCGTCAGCAGTCGGAGGTGAGAGGCGCCGGTCGATGACAGCCTTCTGACAGGCATTAATGGGGTTGATAAGAAAGTTGATAATAATAATAATAATAATAATAATAAAATCAAATTTCAGAAAAAAAATCAAATTGAAATATTCCAAACTGAAATTAGTAAAAGATGGAGAAGTAAATTGCAATTTAAATGTAATGATTCTTGACCTGATGGTGAAAAAAGGAATGTTTTTACACAAAGTGTTAAATGAACTTTATTACCTCAACTGCAACCGTTAATGGATCCGGCCCGAAAATCGGAACTCTCTCCGGGGATTACTCCGGCTATGAGAGTAGTAAGGGATTTCTGTACAGTAGAAGCCACATCTAGCGTCTCCAATTCCGAAAATCACTTTCCAGGTGGTTTTTGCGGTCACTGGAAATGGATAATACCAGCCGGAAGGAGATTTTCGGCGCCGAACACACCAGTTATGACCTCTTCGCTGTTGAAAACGTAGCATTTTTGCTAATTTTGCTGTCTTCCGCCGCCTGTGTCCCTGGTCATCGACGATCACAAATGCAGAGGCAGTAGAGGAAGTCAACAAGGCCGCTGAAGGGACAAGGATAAACGAGTAATTTTGGGTTGTTAGGCCTAAGACTTCCTTTTTGTCCAATTTCACCCTCAAACTTTATTTTTAGGCTAATTAAGCCTTTACTACAAGTCAATAGTCAGTGCCCTTCTCGGGATTTAAACTCTTTAAACGTAGGTTTCTTGCTTTCCTAAGAGTGGTTTATTGTGATTAATTGTTAAATTTTGTATTTTTGGTATATTTTGTACTTTTATTCTAAGAAAAGTTTAACTTTGAAATTAAATATTTTTATTAATGTGTTGGGTAATTAAATTATATATTAATGTTGACGAAAGTTTATTTGACTACCCACTTCTATAAAATCAATGATACATTAATCATATTGTTAAGATGAATTTTTAAACATTTAAGTGTGTAATTCAATTGCTTAAGTTAATTTAATAATTAAGACATTACATTACGATTATGTTATAATATATAAAGTGATATGACTTTCTATCAAACATGGTTTATAAAGATTTAAAAGTTCATGGAAAAATTACAAAAAAGAACTAAGGGCAAAATTGTGAAAAAAAAAGGATCAACTCCTTGTACATATTTGGTAAAATATTTGTCAGAGGGGCCTCCCAACTTTTAAGAGGAATAGCTTGACCCACTTCCTTTTGTGGGGTGTGTGGCTGTATATATTATTATTATTAAAAGCAGTTTAATTTATATGATTTTAGCCCATACATTTTAAGTCATATATTTTCATATAAAACAGTTTATTTGATATATTTAAATGATAATTTGATTTTAATAAGTTTATGTGGTTTGTCTTGTTAAATTTAATTAGTCTATAAGTTTTAATAACTTGTTTACAATTTTTCATGAGTTTTATATAATTTTCATTATTTGTTAAAGAGAGTTTGAACATAAAAACGTTTTGGAATTAAGTAAAAAAATTTTAAAAATTGAGGGACTATATAGCAAGAAGAAAAGTTGCAATCATAGGCCTAAATGAATGATTTTGAAGTTTAAGTATCAAACTGTTTATAAAGTAGAAAAAGAAGAACACAGATGTGACATTTTACCTTTTAGAAAATTACTAAAAGATCCACAAAGCCCGACGTCGCCTTTATCGCTGTTGACACTATGCGTTAAGAATTTGTTAAAGAAGCGTCGACACCCATACTGTGGTGTCGATCCTTCTGCGATATTTTCCGGATCCATTTTGATGCATCAACAAATTTAGGAATTTACGTGAGGCCTCGCGTATGGAATTCATCTATTAACTCAGCACCATGTCTAATTAATTTTTAAATAATAAAATTAAAAGATTAATATTCTTATTAAAAAAATTTTAAAAATGATAATTTTAATTAATTAAAAAAAATAATATCCTTTATTAGAATAAATAAAGTAATGATAAAAGTTTCATAATTATCCTAATAAGTCAAGTAATTCTGTTCTCATTTAGAGTTAGTATTTCTAATTCAAGTTTAATTTAAACTCTTGAGTTTAATAAACCAGGTTGTTGGATTCAGCCAAACTCTAAATGTCCAAAATATTAATTTGATTGGAAAAATTCAATCTTACTTTTTATTTTTTTTATTTATTGCTGGTTTAGATTATTAGTATTGTTAGGGGGTCTAAAAACCAAATTAATACAGTTAAAATTTTTACTTTCTAGTTACAAATCAAAGGTTATGTATTATTTTATAAAAGAAGTATAATATGATGTAGAATCAATTTTTTCACAAAAATAAGAAGTGTTTCTTATTATAATGAATTTATGCCATCTAAAAAGTTAGGCAAAAGTATATTGTTTTGTTTTTTTAGTTTATATATTACTATATGGATTTTTCTTTAATTTTAATGAACTTATTTTTAGTTTTGTTATCTATTCAAGAAATAAAAATATTTAGTTTTATTATCAATTCAAGAGAAAGATATTTGATTAGTTTTTTTTTGGTAAGTGATAAATTTTTTTTTTTTAGGTTTTGCAATTATTGTCTTGAAATTTTTTAGGTAATAGGTATTTTTTGAGCTTTTTTTTTATTAACATGTTAAGTAATATTTAAAAAGAGTAATTGTTTATATGATTTATCATTAATGTTGTCTTTTTAAAGTTTATCTAATTTTTTCTTCTCAATTTCTTTCTTCTAGACACTACATGCATTGAATCAATTTCTCTGCGCATGTTATGTTGCTGAAAATCTTTTATCAATTGAAATTAATTAATAATTATTTTTAATCAATATAAACAATGGACAATCCAGGTGTAAAGGACAATAAAAGTCTGAAAAAACTCGAATAATACAAAATCATCCAAACAACGCCATAATATAATAATAAAAAGACAAAGAAAGAGATTAAAAAACCTTTTCAATGTGAAAAAATGATAATACTAACCGTAAAATTGAAAGCAACAACAAATAGATAATGTAGAAATTTCATATTTTTATTTTGTTTGCTCATTAAATTATTCAAAAATAAAGTTTATCTTACATTGGTAATCATTAGATTACAAATTCAAGATTAAAATTTAAAACTTTCACTCACACAAACAGTTCTATTCTAGAAGATTTATTTAGAAATCAAAAGGCTCAACTAAGTATATATCCAACATAACGCAGTTCTTTTATAAAATTCCTATGTCCTCAATCAATACTTCCCAAAACACAGTTAAGCTCAACACATTTTCACATTGCATACAACATATAAACCACAAACTCGTTGAATAGAATCATACCTAAGAACTAAGACATTGATTGATAACCAAAATTATTTATTTTAACATTTCAAGGGAAAAACGAGTCACATGTTAGGATCTTGCAGGAATATGGAACGTTGATAATTATTTATCCATGCACATCTCCATATTCCTTCCTCCATATCAATATTGTTTAGTGCCACACCCATTTTAGAGTTCTGTCATAAAACCAAAAAAAGGGCAACAAAAAAAAAAAAATTCAAAGGGTAAAATTTAATTCTCAAACATCAAGAATCATTGTACATAATTAATTTCCTCAAGTAGTCTTAATTATATCATAAAAAAGTCAAAAATATAAAAAATTTTAATTTTATCAAGAGAGTTAACTTGATGCTTAGAAGTCCTTGAAAAAGGATGATATAAGATACCTAAAAATCTCATTACCACATCAAGTAAGCAAGCTATAAATAGGAAAACATTTCTCTTTTATTTTCTTGGACATAGGAACCCTTCTAAATTCCCTTGACTTTTTCCCTTTCTGAAGAAATATTCCCAAATTAAATAACCCATAAAAATGATGAATTAGATGATAACCTAAAACTTGTGATTTGATTTTATCACAAATTCATACTTTGACAACTTAAAATATGAAGAGTTTAAATTAACAATCCCACAAAATAGAAACAATTAGATGAGTAAGGAAGTTAAAGAAAAAGTTACAATTTTTTTTTTTTTTGTGTACAGCTCTCTTATAGATTTAATTGCACAATTCAGCTTGGTTTAATCTTAATTTTTCTTGTTCAATTTTGTTTATATACTAATATTTTCATATCTCCTAGAGCATATTGTGGGAGTAATAGAGCTTAATTTTCTTAGGACAATCAAAATTATTAAATTTTTAAAGAATTCACCTAACATATAATACTAAAATTAATATTAACTTTTAAATGATTCTATAAAATTTATGATGAAAAAGTAAGTTTAACCTATATGCATATATTAGAAAAACTCTATAATTGATTATAAAATCAAAATTATTAAATTT